CACTCCAGCTCCAATGCTGGTTTTTAAAAATATATATGGGAGGTTCATAAAGTGGAATGGACACACCTGTGGGGGCGCTGGCAGCCTTCCCCGTGGGCGTTCAGGAGCAGAGCTCCGTGCGAACTAGAGACACGAATGTGGCTGAGGGGATGACTGGTGGCCTTGGGGACCCAAAGATCCTTCTGGAACTGCAAGTGGATCGGGAGTCACTGTGTGGCTCCCACGGGAGACTGAGCAGTCTCCCCAAAGCAGGCACCGCCTGCAACCAGGTTTGCTGGTGACCATTTGCTAAGTGAAAGCTGCTCATTTGTCAGAAGATGTAGATAGGGGGAGAGAAAGGGAGGGAGGGAGATTTTTCATCCATAATTAAAATTAAATCTCCCAGCTCCTAAATGACTAATTAGCTCAGGCCTGAAATACCTCCCCCCGCCCATCACTAAATAAATAGCTCTGAAACATGCCTAATTTAATCATTGAGAGCATTTTGATGTGGATTTGACCCCCTAAATCTTCATGGGGTCACCCTAGTATGCAAAGTATGGGGGATGGGAATTAATAAATCAAGAGAACTGAAAGGTGCCGAACGAACGCCACCACCCATTAGACACTGCAGGTTAAAAATAGTTGTGTTCAGGCATGACAGATGGATCCATCCCTCGGTGACTGGATCGGCCCACAGTCAGCGTGACAGCTCGCATGGGGTTCAGCCAACACAGACAGTCTCACCGTCACCGCAACCTTTTATGGAATAAACCAGAAATGCAACCCTCAGATGAAGTCTTTGTAACATCCTTGTAAGAACAGTAGTTTGGGAGGAGTGGGGCCAAGACACACGACAGTGAGTAAGGCACTTGCCTTGCGTGCAGCCACCCTGGGCCTGACCCCTAGCACAGCTGTGTGTATGCCACTCCCACCCCCAATATTTTGGGATGTGTATTTTGAAATAATCAATAATGGGAGGCTGTTTGAATTTATTTACACCGTTCACATTGGATCTGCGTGCATTGGCCTTGCAGGGTCTCTCTTTTTAAATCATTGTTTTATTTTATTTTTTTTGGGGGGGGGCTACACTTGGCTGTGCTCAGGGCTTACTCCTGGCTCTGCGCTCAGGTTTCACTCCTGGTGGGGTTGGGGGGGTCCTCTCTGGTGCCGGGGATGGAACCCAGGTCTGCTGTGTGCAAGGCCAACACCCTCCCCGCTGTGCTCTGGCCCAGGCTCCTGGAGGTACTTTTCCCGACTCCACCCTGGCACCCACCTGCTGGGGAGTGAGCTGACCGCCTTTCCTTCAGGTGTTTCACCTGAGTCAGGTGCAGTCTGGCCAGTGGACAGACAGTGGCAAATAGGACAGTTTATTTTTGCCGAAAGAAAAAAAATTCTCCTGGGGTGCAGAATATCCCCATTTTCAGCATGGAGCGTTCCTGAGCTCCACAGACCCAGACAGGCCCAGCGCCAGCCCCGGCCACGGCCCCTCTCGAGCAGTAGGAATGCTCTCCAGGCGGGGTGCACGAGTGAAGGGTGTCACTCGCTTAAAAAGGCGTCACGCTGTGGGCCATGTGGGACTCAGCGGCCCAACCCCTCCTGCTGATATGATGGATGCTATCAGGCATGTGACCGCAGAGAAATCTACTCGGTTGCTTAAGGATTGTTTTACCTAGGCCGCAAAGCTAGGAGGCCAGGGCTACCATCTCCCTTTTTCTTTTTAAGTTAAGAATTACTCAAATTTGGGACTGGAGCGATAGTACAGTACAGGGGAAAGTGTGTGTCATGCATGCGGCCAACCCGGGTTCCATCCTTGCACCCCACATGGTCCCCCAAGCATCACGGCGAGTGACCCCTGAGTGCAGAGCCAGGAGGAGGAAGCCTGGTGCATCACCTGGAGTGGCACTCAAGAAAAAGAACAAACTAACCCACAGATTCACTCCTCTTTAAATTGCCCCACCCCCTCCCCAAGACCCTGAGCTGCAGAAACAACCTTCACCCCTTCACCCCATTGGCTTTGCCGTGGGGCCCCAGAACAAGAGTTTGACACAAATGGGCTTTATTTATTGGAAAAGAGCCTCTTGTATGCAGCAATGGGGGAAGTGCGAGACATTCCTGAGTTTGTTCCCGGCACCTTGGGGTCAGGGAACATGGACCGTGGGGGTGGAAGTACCGATAACCCCGCCCACCGCCCCACGTGGTTTGATGTCTGGCATTGCAATCTAAAAATTCATCTGCTCTTGAAACAGCCCCTGCGCTAAAACACTGCCAAGCAAAGGCTTTGGACAATTGTACTGGAAGAGCAGAGGAGAGGAGAGTCAGCACAAAGGATGCCTAAGACAGGAATAATGTCTAAACGTGGGGCAGAACCCATGGCACTGCGGGGAGGGCCCAGCCTTGCCTGAGTCTGACCTGGGCTCAATCCCCGGCATCCCATGTGGTCCCTAAGCACTGGCAGGAGTAAGCCCTGAGCACAACTAGGTAGGACCCATAAACAGAAGCAAAAAAAAAATTATAAGTCAAACATTATTTAGCAATACAGACTTTTGAACCCAGTGGCAGCAGTAGAATCTGCAGTCTTATTACTTCAGTAAGAAGACCGTACGACCAACCAAAAAAGTGACGACCAAAAATTCTGCAGTGACCAGATCTGGAAGGGGAAGAAAATAACCACTTTTCTCTACTCAAATTTTTCTTTCTTTTTTTTAATGACATGCTAGGGGCTGGAATGATAGTACAACGTACAACGGCTAGGGCGTTTGCATATTCAATCCCCAGCATCTCATATGGTCCCCCATGCACCACCAGGAATAATTCCTAAGTGCAGAGCCAGGCGTAACCCCTGAGCTTCGCCGGGTGTGACCCAAAAAGCCAAAAATAAAATAAAATTAAAAAACGAGTAACGTGCTAGTGTTATTTTAATTAAAAACTACATATTCCCTTGCATGTAAAAACATTGTTGTTGTTGTTTTTCACTTTTATCACTCTATGGGGCTGGAGTGATATCACAGCGGGAAGGCTCTTGCCTTGTTTTTGTCTGACTCAGGTGTGATTCCCGCACTCCGTATGGTCCCCCGAGCACCGCCAGGAGTGCTCTCTGAGCACAGAGCCAGGAGTAAGCCCCAAACACCGCCAAATGTGCCACCAAACAAAAAGAACTATCTTGTTACAGATTCGTTTTCTGCATTTACTGTTACGACTCAGGAGAACAAAAACTTCAACCAGAGTACCAGGAGAAAAAGACATAGTTCCACAGGATGGAAAACATCTTGAACTGAGGTGGAGCAGATAAACCCAGAATTTGAACTTGCTGCAGAAATGCAAACGAAAGTCAGAATGAAAAGGACAAATAGGGGAGCTGCAGGATAGCACAGCGGGCAGGGAACTTGCCTTGTTTGAGGCCAACCCAGGGTCCATCCCCGGCATCCCAGGTGGATCCTCCGCCAGCCAGGAGTGATCCTTGAGCACAACGCCAGGACTAAGCCTCTCACATCACCAGGTGCGGCCCCAAAACAAAAGAAAAGAAAGAGGCAGATGGGCCTAAGCATATCTGAGCTTTGCTCTGAAGTCTGGGGCCGCAGGGAGCACAGACTTTGCAGGAGGCAGAGTTCCTTCCCTCCACCCAGCCCCCAGCAAGGAGCCAGGAGTATCCCCAAGGCCAGCCCACTGCCAGGCTGCTGAAGATGGAGGACACAAGGAAGGGAAATGCGTTTCCCATGAATTCTACTGTGCTGTAATTCCCTGTGACACAGCGCACCCGCCACCCCACCCCACTGTGAGTTCTGGTTGCGGGGAGACCCCCTCCTCTGTACTGTTGAGTGGCGATTGTCGGGGTCTGCTGCGCATTCATGGTTGCCGTCTGTCTCGGCTCTTTCCATCCGCTCATCCTCCCAGCCCCCCAGAGCTGGTCCGAAATGGTCGGTTCATCCCTGGTGCTATTAGCAGGAGACAGCTCCCAAGTTGGGGGCACACAGACACCAGAGTCCCATCCTCCCCTGCGCTCCCCACAGCGCACATCCCCCCAGAATCATGACTGGTGCCCTGGCTTGAGGAGGCAACCATCCATCAGAAGGCGAAGCAGTTTTTTGTTTCATTTTGGTTTTGTTTTTTAAGACACTCGTCTTGGCATGCAACTTAGTGCTGGAGTGGTAGCACAGCGGGGTAGGGCGTTTGCCTTGCACGCGGCCGACCCGGGTTTGATTCCCAACATCCCATATGGTCTCCTGAGCAACACCAGGGATAATTCCTGAGTGCAGAGCCAGGAGTAACCCCTGTGCATCGCTGGGCGTGACCCCCGGTTAAAATAAATACACAAATAAATTTTAAAAAATAAATGGCCCATTTAACCACTTGTCCATTTCCCTCTGCTGTCTCATCACCTCTGTTCCCCTTGCCCCCCTATGTCCCAGGAATGTTTATGCAGCCATCCATGGAAAGTCACTCCTTCAGGGGCCGCGGAAGTCGTAGAACTGGTACTATCATGTCTTGTACACAGCTGAGCTGGGTTCAATCCCTGGCACCCCATGTGGTACCCTGAGCCCAGAGCCAGGGTAAACCCTGAGCATGGCCAGGTGTACACACATCCACCCCAAAGAAAAAAAAAACGTTCAGTGAATCAAAGGAACAAATGATGACTTTATTTTTTTTGTGGGAGTAAAAAATTTTAAAACTATTAAAAAATTTTAAAACAAATATTGAACTGATTTGAACCAGTGAGTATGACACGAACATCCACTGCTGTCCTGGACCCCAGACTTTAATGAGATTCCCCACTTCACACACACCTCTGTCTCTCTCCAAATATGCATCCCAGGAGCCACACTTCTGTCCCCTCTCATGTCCTTTCCAGACTGTGGCATTGCTCAGTCTTGACTGGCTGTCCGTCCCCGCCCTGTGCTCCCCCACACACATCCTTTTGTGGTGTAAATGCTCACACACACACACACAGCCACACACGCACCCGTTGGGTTGTATCTGTTGTGTCTTTGCTCCTTCCCTGTCTTGCCCCCCTCTCTCCCCAGGCCAGGTCCTCCATCTCCTCCTCTGCAAGCCAGCCTGGAGGAGAATCTGGCCGAGGGTGTGAGGCCACATGCTCCGTGTGCCCCGAGCTCTCATCCTCTACTAGAAACCCTGTTCATCTTTCTGTTCTGGCCTTTTGCGAATTGCCATTTTGTTTAAGAGCAACTCACTTTGGTCCTCTCCAGAGTCAGGATGAAAATCATTCTCTGTTGGATTAGTCGTAACAATCTTTGCCCCGTTCTTGCTCAGAAAGGTTTCAAAAACACATTCTCCAAACTTGCTGAAAGTTGCTGAAATGAGTGAGAACCAATGGATACTCCCAGCATAAAGCCACTCTGCATGACATTCATATAATTGCTTTGCATGTGTGTGTGTTTTCATTGTTGTCATTGCTTGGTAATAATTTATTCAAGAAATAGCACTTCAACCTGGGATTAGGTGTTTAAAAGAATTCTTTTTTGGGGGCGTGGGGTGGGGATGCAACAAGTCCTTCTTTTCTTTTTTCTTTGTGTTCTCCATCTCCCAAAGTTATTAACTTGTTTCTTTAAATTCACATGGACACAATGATATGCAGGTTCTGGCATGTACACATAGGCAAACTTTTTCTCCCTCACAGTCAGTAAAATTTCACTAATATTTTGCACACGTAAAAGCCTGGGCCCCTCCCCCTGTAATAGTCCTAGGAGCCGTTGAGCGTCCATTCTAGGGCAGTTGTGCACTGGCCTCTCTCTGGGTTGATTTCTGGCATTTTGAAAACTTTGGTCTTTTAGAGAATCCGAGTTCATAAGAGACTCCGATGAAGAGAAAGCTTCCCTGCAGAAATTCATCAGTATTACCAGTGCCTTGCTCACGGAGAGGGACACAGAGCTGGAGAAGCTGAGAAATGGGGGTCAAGTCCCGGCCCCGCCCTCGTGGACCCGAGCCACGCCCATCCCCGCCCGGGCCACGCCTACATGGGCCGAGCCACGCCCATCTCACTCTGAACCACGCCCACATTGGCCTGAGCCATGCCCACTCCGCCTTGAGCCACTCCCATGTCGGCCCAGGCCCCGCCCACATGAGGGTCACAGCCACGGCCACGAGGGCCTAAGCCACACCCCTGTGTTGCAGGTCTCCTTGCTCAGGGGAGAAAATGCCTCTACCAAGTCCTTACATTCAGTTTTTCAGTCCCTGGAATCTGACAAGGTGAAGCTGGAGCTCAAGGTCAAAATCTTGGAGCTTCAACTCAAAGAGAATAAAAGGCAGCTCCAGAGCTGGGCAGGTAAAATGCTACCGCTGAGGGGTGCCTGCTCTCCGCCCTCCCCCACACCTCCAGGGGCACCAGCCCCCCTGCCCCGCCGCCCCTCCCCCAGCTGGCTGCTCAGGAGGGTGAACTTGGGCACCTGCCCGGAGCATGGGCTCGCGGTCGCGTCCCTGGGTCCGCAAGCACCGGCGCCAAAATAAGAGCCCAAAACAAGGCGAAAAGGCACTTTGGGGATGGGGATCAGTTTGGTTTTGGGGTCACACCTTGCAGTGCTCAGAATTTACTGCAGGCTCTGCTCAGGGATCACCCTGCTCAGGGGACAATCAGGGGACCAGAGATCTAAGCCCCTACCTGCTGAACTGTTTCTGCCCTAGAAAGGCATATTTTCAAAGACCTACACTCACTCTTTTTTTTTTCAACTAAAAGGTAATTCTGATTCTCAAGCAGATGAGGACGAAAGGGCCCAGGAGAATCAGGTAATATTTCTTTGCTGTGTTGCTTCCATGTTATGTTTTATTTTGGTTGTTAATTTGGGGCCACACCCCGTGGTGCTCAGGGCTTACCCCAGGCTCTACACTCAGGAATCACTCCTGGTAAGGCTTGGGGAACCATGTGGGGTGCCGGGGATCCAACCCAGGTCAGTGGGGTACAAAGCAAATACCTATACTATTTTTCTGGCCCTTGTTGGGTTTTGTTGTTGTTGTTTTTGTTGTTTCAAAAGGTTGTTCACATTATTTGATTGACATTCAATATTTCAACACCAATCCCACCACTCTTACACCTTCTCACCACGCTTATTTCAAATTTCCCCACCACCATTCAAGCCTGCCTGCCAGAGGCAGATGCTAGATCATTTATTTTCTATTGCCTATTATGAATATCATGAGAGGTCTTCTGGAATTCTAAAATTGTAAATGGTTAGGGTCCAGAGACATCTCTGTAGGGAGCTAATCTATTTTGAGGTTCCTTTGGGCGTCTCAGGATCAAGGCTGTTGATGGCCTGAGATGGTGCCTGGAGGCAGATCAGGGGCGTGACAGCCAGGACCCCAAGTGGGCGGTGAGAGGGTGGCCCTTGTGTTTTCATGACGCTTCACTTTTGACTAAGACATTCAGCATTTAAAACATTAGCCAGTTCTGGCCTCCTCGGGACCCAGCGCCCCGGGATGGGCCCGAAGAATAGCCCAACGGGGCTGCTGCGTTAAGGGCCAGGGCATAGCCCCCCTCCCCGCGCCTCGGGGCAGGGGGGGCGGGGGCTCCCGCTCCATCTGCTCATTCCCATGTGCCCTCCCGGGCCGGCCAAGTGACCCCCGCGTGCCTGGGGCGAGCGGGCGAGCCCCCCAGCTTCAGCCCGGAGGAGGGGTGGGGGGTGGCCGGTGGCACCCGTGAGTCACGCCTCATGCCGAGGTGGAGGGTGTCCGGGGACTTCTCCGGGCCGGGCAGGGGCGCAGGAGGGCCCCGGAGGCTGCTTGCCCCCGCCCCCCTTCCCCCGCCCCAACTTTTCCTGATTTCAGGGCCAACACTCAGCCCTCGCCCTCCAGCTCCCAGGTGGAGCTCAGAGTTCCAAAACTTGGCGCCCCGGGAGGGAGCCACCCCCACTGCTCTGCGGGAGGGAACTTTGACCCAGTGGTTGCCGGGGTGGGGAGTGGGGGCTTTGGACCCTCCTGGAGAAATTGCAGAAAGGCCAGATCCCCCCCAACACCACCCTCCCCACCCCCGCCACCCCCTTCGCTCCCCACCCGCAGTCCCTGCTCCGGGAAGACCAGAAAGGATTTTTCTGGGGTCTTGTCGGGAAACCACGCGGTCCCTTTGGTGCCCGCTCGCGGGGCATCGCGGGGCATCGCGGGGGCTCAGAGTGGCCCTTTGTGCAAGTGCAGGCGGGGCAGCGCGAGGACGCGCAGGGCTGACCTGTGCCGCGCGCTGGGACAGAGCTCAGCCCAGAGGGATCCCGGGAGATCGGCGGGCCGCGTGCTGAGAGTAGCGAGCCGGCTAGTGCCCTGCCCGCTAAAACATTGTTTCCCTTTGGCCATCTCCCTCCGTGCCTGCAGGCCCGCCTCCGTGCAGAGCCCTGCCCCGGGGCTCCGAGGGCGCAGAGGGTGCACCCCCCTCTCTCGGGCTCTTTCAGACTGTTTTCCTTTCTCCCGCAGTTTGGTGTTTTTTTGTTGTTTTGTTTTGTTGTTTTGTTTTTCTTCGGCTTTTGTCGCCTATCGCCCTGGCCACCCCACTCTTCTCATCTCTCTCTCTTTGTATTGCGGACCGGGGCACACCTGGAGCGCAGGTACTGCTCCTGGCTCCGCTCACTACGGACCCCTGGCGGTGATGGGGGGAACTACTGCGGTGCCGGGGTGGAACCTGCATCCCCCGCCCCATGCAAACCCCAGGGGGCCGACCCTCCCAGCCCTCACTTATTTTCTTGAAGTTCCTTTCATAGGATCACCATGAGATGCACCATTGCAAAGCTGTTCAAGATCGGGTTTCAGTCGCGCCATGTTCCCGCCCCTATCCCTCCACCAGCATACCTTTCCCACCCAGTTTCCCTCCCGACACCCCTCCACCCTGCCTTAGAGGCAGGCACCTTTCTTCTTTCTCTCTCCTTTGGGGTGTGATGTTTTGCAATACAGGCACAGAGAGGTCATCGTGTTCTGTTCCTTACAGGACTTTCAGCACTCAGATCTTACCCAGTGATCATTTCTTCCTGTCACTGTCCTATGATCCCTTCTCTCTCCCAACTGCCTTCTCCCCAGCGCTTGGGGCAGGCTTCCAGCCATGGACCAACCAATAAATTGTTGTATCTTATGGGGACATTGAGTCCTTGTAAGATGTTGTGATAGGTTCAGCCTCCTGTGTTTGTTTTGTTAACCGAGATTGGTTCCTTCTCCAATCTGGTGTGCTACTACTGGTTTATCAGTGTTTTAGAGTTTGAGATGTCAGAAAGTTAAGTCTTTTTGTCGGGAAGGTACTACTGGAGTTGATGTTTTGTCTGGGTGGCAGCTTTGGATTGTGGATGTCCAAAAGCTGCTGAGGCTTCTGGAAGTACAAGGACATGGGGGAGGGGGGAGGTAGCCCATCCCAACTCTGAAAAAGCCTGGAGATTTCAGTCACAAATCCTGTATACCTGAGTTTGCATCCATTTAATTTCTCCACGGGGTCCACCCCGAGAAGATGGAGTCTTGCCCATGGGGGCCGTGGCAGCAATTTCGGACTGTGGGAGTGTGTGGCTGTGGGGGGTTGTTTGGGCAGGCACTGCTCAGTCCTCATTTCTTTTCTCTCAATGACCTACACGAGTACTTCTGAAGTTGTTGGCTTTTATAACGAACAAGCTTTGTCTCTGTTCAGGGTGAAGTATGAACTAATGCAGTCCCTCTGATATTTTATCCTGTTTTTCCATGTCCTCGGTTTAGGCTCTGATTTGGCAAAAATGTCATCACTCTCCTGTCTGTGTCCCCGCTGCCGCTGCCATGGCACCAGGAGAAAAATCAGCTGCCTGAGTCCCAGATTCCGTGGGCTTGTGTGTTTGCTGTGTCTGAGAACATCTTGTGCCTGGAACCGGAGTCGCATCCCAGGCCAGCCGCGGTGCCCGCGGTGAGCTCTGCCAGAGGCCTCATTTCAGCAGTGTGACACTTCTGGGTGTGAGCGAAGGCCCATGCCGGAGTCAGCATGTGCTTTGCGGTTCTCTGTCTCCTGAGTGGTTTCAGAAGGAAAAGGGACCTTTTCCAGTGTGTCTTATTACTGCTTTGTGATGGTGTAACTCCTCCCCTCCCTGTCGCCTCCCACTGTGTCTCTGTGTGAGTCCAGCTGGCACCACCAGCATCAGCCTCGCAGCCAGAACACGTAACTGCCTGATTGCATGCTCCCAGGCGCAGCTTGGACTCGGAGGTCCAGAGGTTCATCCTGCCCGCGCGAAGCGTTTGTCTGTGGATTACAATGCAAACATGGGGGCCCGAGAACTAGGAGAGCAGCTGGTAGGGCACTCACCTTGCCTGAGGCTGATGGGGCTTTGATCCCTGGCCTGGCATAGGGTCCTGAGGGCCTCCAGGAGTGACCCCTGAGTGCAGTCAGGAACAAGTTCTGAGAACCGCCTGGTGAGGCCTAGAAAAAAAAAAGAGGAAAGAAGGAAACTGTTCCACCGACATGGGGTTCAAGTTTAGTCTTTGGGGTTCTGGGGCCACTGGAGCCGTTCCCCACATGAGTCTACCACTTGAGCCCATCTCTCGACTGCACTTTTGCTTTTCATAGTTAAAAGAGTTGAATTGTGAATCTACTTTGCCCTCACCACCCAAAATAAGAATTTTGACCGGAAGAATGACTTTGTGCTCCTGAGTCTGTTTTATACTAAAGGGCTTGAGTTCTGTTTCTCGACACGGTTATTTGTACGAACTTCACCATCTTTTGATGTCTCTGGGGTGTAGGGCTGGGATGGAACCCAGTGCCCCCCCCCACAACATGCATACACACGGAGGCACCTGATATGTTGGGCCCCATCGCCAACCCACACTTTGCCACTTCTGAACCCTCCTGAGGTGTGTGAAAGTCTCAGAACAGAGTGAAGACGAGGGTCAGAGCAAGTCAACGTCAGCATGAAGGCGAAGGCAGTGTGTCCGAGTGTCTGAGGATCCAGTTTCGGGTCAGAGGTTGCTGATCTCAGGCCTGTCCTTTCTCACCGTTAGAGCGGTGTAAAGGGGTGATGGAAGAGCCCGTTTGGCAGGTCGGCTGGGTGGCATCGAGACATCGGGCCTGGTCTTGACAGAGACTCTCCAGACTTGGTCCCCGTGTCTCCAAGCACGGCCACCCCCCAATCCCTCGCAAAATGAAACGCAAATCAGACAGATTGTTTTTTTATTTGAACATTAAATATTGACCATTATCTCAGCATCTTCTTTTCCTCTTTAAAATGCATTTATGGGGGCTGGAGTGATAGCACAGCGGGTAGGGCTTTTGCCTTGCACACAGACAACCCGAGTTCGATTCCCAGCATCCCATATGGTTCCCTGAGCACCACCAGGAGTAATTCCTGAGTGCAGAGCCAGGAGTAATCCCTGTGCATCGCCAGGTCTGACCCAAAAATCAATAAATAAATAAATAAAATGCATTTATGTTTAAGTTTATGCATTTAGGAATAAAATGGGGGCTTTTTTTGTTTGTTTGCTCATAGGAGTTTTCGTTGCAATGAGTATTAAATAGATTCACCTCATTCTTTTTCTTTTTAAAGTTTTATTAGTGAAACACCATGAGGTACGATTGTGGACTTACAAGTTTTTGTGCTTGGATTTTAGTTATACAATGATCAAGTACCCATCCCTCCACCAGTGCCCATTCTCCATCACTTATGATCCCAGTAACCCTCCCACCCCCCAACCCCCCTCACCTCATCCCCCCCATCCCATCTCTGTGGTAGGACATTCCCTTTTGTTCTCTCTCTCCTTTTGGATCTTGTGGTTTGCAAAAGAGGAATTGAGTTCACCACCCTGTTCGGTCTATAGTCTACTTTCAGCATGCATCTCACAACCCAAGTGGATCCTCCAAACACCCGATTCACTTCATTCTTGAATCCTCGCCCTTTTGGTCTGGGATACTGGACTTAAGGATGAGGTGTGTCCTTCCAGCGTCTGCTTCTGAAACCTTGGGCATTCCGTGCACATTCCATGCATCTGTGTATTTCTGGAGGGAAGATTCTTGGTTTCACAGTTTCAGAAGAAAAGCTATTTGGACATTCCCAATAAAATTATTTCTGCTCAAAAAAGAAAACCATTAGCCAGTGTGTTAAGTCTATGTATATTATATAATCTCACTCTGAACTGTCCTTCTCCAGTACCCCACAGACAAGTAAACAATTATTTCATCATTTTTTATTTTTTCATAAAAGTAGATGTATATGTTTATAATCATATGTAAGCCAAGCCCTAAATGTTTTCTTTTTGACTTAAATATTTTCATTTTACATGAAATGGTCTGAGCTTAGCTCTCTTAATAGCTGCTTACTATTCTATTCTATGGATTGCTGTAATTTCATCAAATTTGAAATTAATCCAGGATAAACCCCTAGAAACAGAATTGCTCCACCTGAAATTTCCTTTATATTGGGCTACTTGACTTCATGTCTCCTGTGCTTAATGGAGGGGCCATCTCAGCTTCTGTCCCAGACACCCAACGGCTCCTGGGACTTAGCTCTGCCCAGTGGGGGCGGCGAGCCCGGAGCTGCCCGGGGTGTCTCACTGTCCTGGGCATGAGGAGCCCAGCGAGCCTTGTTTTCTCTCTCCTTTAAGCACCCGCTGGCCTTGTTTTCTCTCTCCTTTGCCTCCGCTTCTGCTTGTGCCTCCTGCTGCCGCCAAGACTTTCCTCCTAAGCAGCAAATGCTTTGTTATCTTCCTCATTTGTGAGTGTGTGTGCATGTGTGAACATGTGTGTGTGCTCACGCAAGCACTGGGGAGCGTGTCTGTGTGTGTGTCCGGGTGTGTCCACGTGTAAGCGTGTCTGGCTTTCCCCTCTAGATTTGAATCCCTGCTCTGGCCTTTCCCTCTTCCTGAACGGTAGCTCCCAACAGGACCATGTCTCGGAGGAAGTGGGAATCGTTTCTTGGCTCCAGTGTGGGAGGGCCTGGGCCCTCTCAGAGACTCCTCATCAGAACTTGCCCCGAGGGAGAAAAAGAATCAGTCTGTTTTTCTGGTTTTCTTTACACTTCCTTTGGGGGTCACACCTGGCGATACTCCGCGCTTCCTCCTGGCTCTGCACTCAGGAATCACTCCTGGCAGCTCTCCGGTGGCCCCTATGGGATGACAAGGATCAAACCTGGGTTGGCTGAGTGCGAGGCAAGCACCTTTCCCGCTGTGCTATCACTCAGACACAAACCCGCCATTTTTTAAATGAAACATGATTGTGCCTACAGTAATGCTTGCTTTTGTAAAGTGGG